ACATTTCTATACCACTTACTGAGGACTATATGGTTCTTGAAAAGAAATCCTGTATGTGCTACTAGCATCTGAAGGTTAATAAAGTAGTAGGAATACCTTCTACCAGAAGACTGGAACGAATTTTCTGAAGTAGTTTGAGATTGAAAGGGCAGTAAGTTTTGTTATATATTGATAAAGAAATTATTTATTATCGCTTAAAAATGTATTGTTCAAGACTTACTTGACAGAATTTTTATTTTTCCCAATTGCTTAAATAAGATTTGATTACATCTCTGTTTGTGATACTAAGGAAAAGCCTTTTATATTGCTGTAGACCTTGACAGAGTTATGTAATAAATAATTAAAAGTATTGTATATCATACTTCAGAGGCTTCCCAAGCTGTTACCGTATAGGGTAACAAAAAAATAGAACCAATAGGCTTTTTTTATTCAGTTTCCATTGGTATAAAATCAGTTCAGTTGCTTTCCATAAAGTAGAATAATGAAGTTGTACAATTAGTGGGATACTCTGAGAAGTTTGGAAAAAGCAGAACAGACTTGTGATAAACATTTCAGTTTCTGCTACAAGTGGTTTTTTTACTTTGAGGAAAATAAAATTCCAGCATCTTATTCCCAGTCCTGATAATTCTCCTAGAGTTAATTTAAGATAGGGATCAACCTTACTATATGACCAGAGTGGTATCAGTAATGTCTCTGGGGCACAGTATCGTTCCTTTTTCGACTATTATGGCTTCCACAATTCCCTAGATTGCATATCCCATTGTTTCACTAATTTTACAGTTAGAAAACTGTTCTTATTTTCTACTTGAAAAGCCCTAATATACATAGACACACATTTTACACTACTTGGATAGTCCTGTTTAATATGAAGGCAATTAATTTAATTTGAGGTATGTGGAGATTTCATTTCCTCACTCCATAACAACTCAGCAAAGAACATTCCTTCATGCATTTCTTGACCTAAAAACTTCACACTTTTTAGTGGAAATTCATATAAACTTGCAACACTACAAAAGGCATTTGTTCAAAATGAGCAGTTCCTTCCCTAGTGTGAAAGGAAGAAAGTGAGGTAATAAAATAACTTCCTTTCCCTACTTTTTTTCTCTAGGACTGTTCTGTACTAGTCCCTGACTTGACTCTTGGATTAATTTTAAATAAGACATCCACCCACATGTCTCCTAAAGGTTTTGTGGGCAAGATGAGAACTACACTAAGAAGATACTCCAGAAGAAGTTAAGACATTTACTGTAAAAAAATAATAAAATCATATTACATGTATTTATCAAATCACCTCTGTTTAAGATAATTTAGCCAGTATTTTAGCAGACCTGCTGCACCACACTGTCCTGCCTGGGAGGATAATGAAAAATGAAGGAGAACATTATTTTGATTGTACTTAAATGGAAATTCACATCACAAAAAAGCAGAATGTGGTGGCAGTCTGAAGTGATAATCCATTATACTTATCAAAATAATATGAAGTCCATCTCATCAGAGCAAAATGGCAAACTTGTATACAGCTGTACATTAGGAAAATTTAGAAATGAGGTAAAAGATACTGCAGATTGCTTTAAACACAGTTTTTGCCCTCTGAGTTGGCCAGTTGCACTCAGACTCCCATTTCAGGGAGTATAAAAGGTTATTGTGTAGAATTTAATGTGTCAGGAAGGTAGAAGATGATGTCTGACTCAGTGTTTTTATTTTGCTGATGAACTTTATTTCCCCTTTTACTTCTTAAACACTTTTTTTAAGCTGATGTGTGATTGTGTTCACTTAAAATTTGTGTTCCTCTACCCTTGCTAAGAAATACAATCACTCTCCCCCCCCATGGGACTTCAGTGCTGTGTTGAAATATTGCTCTAGGATAAGATTAGATATCTGTTTTCCCTTTGAGAACATTCATGAGAGAGGATGAGCTCTGAGTTTACATGTGCACAGACAACATTTTACTAGATTGTAGATGGAATATTTATGATTTAGTAGACAAAAATCCTAACGTTTTCTTTTTCAAGGCACATTTATCTCATCCAAATTAGATGCACTGCAAGTAAAAAGAATTACTTATTAGCTGGTTCATGCATTAAAATAAGCACCTTTTATCTAGTAAAACATTTAGCACATGGAAAATTCCTATTCCCGATTAGAAAATTTATTGGATATAAAGATTCTTTAATGCTTGAAGTAAAGGTTATGCTTAAACATTTTTGCAAATTATATTCCTGACTTGGTGTGATATTAAAGTAAACCTTAGTAAACTAATAGCAGTGAATATAAACAGTAAATCATTCAGATTTGTACATAGTTCTTCCCCATAGACACTGAGTGGCTTATGTTCTTTATCCACTTAGTTTCCTGTGTTAAGATGTCAAGCAGTGGCTTAACTTCCTTAGCTTACATGGCAAAGCGAATCTTTTTTATCATGCCTATTGAATTGTAGATAACATTTATCTGAATTATAAAAACAAATGCCCAAAAGAAAACCCAAAAGACCCTGAAACCAGAACACGTGCAACGGGTTCTGCTGCTTATAATTTTAAGCAAGGTTGCCTATCTATTGAATGCACAAATAGAGCAGAACTCTTCTTCTGAGGCATGTTCAAGTTGATTTATAGCTGATAGATTTTGCCAACAGTACTCCTGTGTTTTTTACAATTGTCTTACCTGGCACCTGTACCAATATGGCTGATCCAGAGCCATTATTCTGTTATTACACATTTGTACTGAGCAAACAGGATACTTTTATTATTTTCTTGTCTCACCCAAATCCTCTGCCTGTAGTTTTCTCTACTAAAAGAGAGGGTGTATTCTCCTTCTGCTGTATCTGTATTTAATATAAGCTGAAGATGCTTTAACTGAGATGTCCTTGAACTGCTAGTTATCACAAATTGTCATGCATGAAACTTAAAACCTTTAGGGTTGCGTATAGAGAGTATTGTTTCCTAGGAGACAATAACATCCTTGAGTGGGGCTAAAAGTCTTACAGAGCATCTGATATTTGGCCAAGCCAGTACTTTCTCTGGATGACTGTATTATCTTACTTTGCCTTTTTTTATCTGAATATCTAGGGAGAGGGATTTTGAGATGGTGTGTAAAAACCTTTACAATAACAATCATACTAAGCAATGGAGAGGTATCAACTCCAAAATCATTGTAGAGTTTAAAAAAAATTAACAAAAATCTAGCATATTTTCAAAATGTTGCTTACCTTGGACACTGAATTAAAAATCAGTGTGATAGCTCTGTAATCACAAAGGTTAGACAGCACTGTGTGAATTAAAAAGTGCTGTTAGGGTTCCCATGCAATAGAGCGTTCAGAATTTTGGGCCCAGGTGTCATTCTCGTGCTTTTGAGTTCTTACCCTCCTTGTAAAATCAGAATTCAAGTAACTTCACTAAAAGTTCAGATCATCTTTAATTTTTCAGGTTATTTATGCTGCAATTGTAAACCAGTCTCCAAGAGAGTTAGTATCAAGTCTTAGTGCTGGCTTGGTTTTATCCATCACATTTTGGTGAGCCCCCCTTTTAACCCAAAAATTCACCATCAGGCCTTTTCACTCTCTCTGTTCCCTACAATACTTTATAGCGGTTGTCCACTTTATGAATTGGTATTTTGCCTTCAGACAGAACAAACAGTATAGGAGAGCTTATATCTGTCTATCAATGTGTTTGAAGTAAAACTTCTGTAGCCAGTAACAGGACATTAAACTTTTTTTTGTTAGAATATTACTGTTCTTGTATTGAAAATCTTCCCCTTGTCACCTTGGTGTTTTAGGTACTCTGTTGGATAGACCAGCTCTAGGCCTGAGTTCTTTCATAGAAATAAGTCAACTGCTTTCAGCTGGATATGTTAGATGACCACCTGATCTGTAGCTAATCAGGAGGAGCTGCAGGGCAAGATAGCAAGCAAACAAGAAAGCTGGGAGAAGTACCCATTGGATTCATAAAAGCCCACAAGCCTCTTAATTTTCTAGGTGTGTATTCTAATCCGTGCTTCACAGTTGCTAGTGCACCCCACAGCCCCATTTATTTTACAGGTGCAAAAGTCCTTTTTATATTGCAGTTTGTGTAACACTTTTGCAGCACCATATGACAAAGTTCAGCCTGTTCCTGAGTTGCTCTAGGTAACAAACATGATACCTGTTCTTTTGGTTTATGCACAGTGATAGTGCTCCATATTCAGTGAGGAAAAGTAGAGGACTTCACTTTTAAAGTACTTGTCTTAAGTTTCACTAGTAGGGGACAATATGAAGAAACTGTAGTTCTAATAAAAGAAGTACTAATAAAAACAAAAGCCGAAAGGATTCCTATAAAAAGCAAAGAATCCACCTTTCTTAATACAGGGGGAATGGTTGGAATATACAGAAAATTACATTGTAAAAACATTGACACTGTTTATTTTCATCAATAATTTAAATGGAATTGTAATTATATGTCCAAAGTTTGGAATTAAAATAATTATTATTTTATCTGCAAAAAAAAAAATCTAAAATAGAGTAACTGCACCATCTTTAGCTGCATGTTCTATGTTTTTAATGTTTTGTGCATGTGCAATATGAAATGGAACATTGACAGAAGCTTATGGGTTTTCAGGATACCATTGGAAATTTCTCTCAGCTTGCAGTTGATTTCCTCTTCATCTGCTCCTGCAGCTGCTTCTGATCAGCTGAGGATCAGGTAGATTTGGTCACTTATCAAATCCAGCTGGGAAGCTGATTTATTTGTCTCAAAGATCTCAGGGAAAAGGAGGTATTTACTTATGAGTGAGTCCTGAGGCAGAGGGTTTATAAACTGATCAATTAAATCTAGAGCTAAGCGTATCTTCCTGAGAACCAGAGTACGCATGAAAGGCTTAGAAACTCTGAAGAGTTCTTCCTTTGCAAGAATGAGAAGGATAAAAATAATTGAGGAGAAGTGAAAGCTTTTATGTTCTGATTTTCTTTGAAGTGTTTTTGTTTGTTCTGTGCTTTTTGCCTGAAAGCGATAGAGGTGTAGTTGCCTGAGGTAAGTACTGTGCAAGCCAAGTGACTGATGATGATAAGAAGTAACTTGGCAATAAAAAGCTGGAATAGAAAATCTGTGCTTTACTAGGGAACTAGCACATTATTTTTTAGGGAACCAAAGTGACCACTTTCTGAAACCAAATCAGCAGTGTTGAGACCTGAGTAGTATGAAGTGTATCTGGCTGGTCCCTTGGAGTGCAAGGGTGTTCAAGGTGGCCAGAGCAAAACATTTGGTTTCCTGGACAGTTGATCTTCAAGGATGAAATTGTTTTTAGAGAACACGAATGGAGGGGAGAGGTTAAAATGCAGATTAACTGGGTAACTGGATTCCTCATATCAACCAAAAGGAGTATTGCTGGAGCTGATTAATTTTTTGTCATTTTGCTATGAAAGCTTGATTCTGATGCAAAAGGTCTTCAAATTAAAATCTGAATTTTTATGTATAAATGGCTTTAAGGTCATTTTGTCTCTAGAAAGAGGGAAAGCTGGTATTCAAGAAATGGTGTTTCAGGGTATGTGGTAGAGGCAGAGGTTGAAAGTTTGTTTGGATTTTTTTTTGGTCACTGTTTCTGGTGGAGTGTGTATGGTTGTGTTTGTTAGGCATTGTTTTGTGTTGACGGTTGGACTTTATGATCTCAGTAATCCTTTCCAACCATGATGATTCTGTGAATTGGGAGAATTTAGAGGGACTCTCGAGTCCCATTTTTTTTTGTGTCTGCTTCATATTTTTGTACTGGAAGTAACAGGAGCGTCACTAAAGACACTGCAAGAAATTCCTTAGAGGTGTTCTAGACCAAATATACTCTTAACTTATTTTTGTCTTTGTAGTCCATTTTGTTCTGTCAGTTGGAGGCAAATAATTGTTGTGTTTCATT